GTATAGGTGGGATAAGCAGACAAGGAGAATTCTGGGAAGAGGAAGGCTGAGTCAGGAGATGCCAGCCTGCCATCCAGGGAGCAGCATGTAATGGCGCACAGGTAAAGCCCCAGAACACATGGCAACATACAGATTAACAGAAATGGGCTGAGTTTAAGTGTAAGAGCTAGTTGGTAGGAAGCCTGCACTAATAGCCTAGCAGTTTAAATTAATATAAGCCTATGTGTTTATTTGGGTCTGAGTGGCTGCGGGACCGGCAGGTGAGAGATTTGTCTTGACTTTGGACCAGGTGGGACACAGGAAAACTTTCAGCTACAGGAAGAGATCACTATAAAACTACTATGAAAATAAGACCCTGTAGGCAAATTTTGGAACCTCTGTTTTTCAAAACTTCCACAATAAAGAGTAGTCTTTGAGGCTAAAGAGACAACTCAGCAGTTAGAATCTCCTACTGCTCTTGCAGAGGACCCAGGTTTGATTCTCAGCACCCACATGGTAGCTCCCAACTGTCTGTAACTCCAGTTCCAGAGAGTTGGATTGCTCTTCTGACCTCCATGGGCTCCTACACACACCAACTGTACACAAATACATTCAGTGTACATACATACATATATTTGGTATTTTTCAAGACAGGGTTTCTCTGGGTAGTTTTGGTGCCTGTCCTAGATCTTGCTCTGCAGACCAGGCTGGCCTCATACTCACAGAGATCCACCTGGCTCTGCCTCCCGAGTGCTGGGATTAAAGGTGTGTGCCACCACTGCCTAGCAAATTAAGTATATTTTAAAGAATGACCTTAGAGGAAGTAGAACTATAAAGTCATGCTCACAATATACTTATATTGGAAAACTTGGGATTTTTGTTCTTGAGACAACCACACAGAAATAACTTGTTCGCTCAAATGTCATATTTAAAATCACAACATGACCCACTTCCCATTGCTCTAATTTTTAGTACAAATTCTTACCCATGTTGGGCACCAAACGTAGACGAATTTCTAAACAGTCATATTAAATAAGAAACACAGAGCCAAATACAGCTGATAGCTGAAGAGATCAGAGCAAATAGCCACGACTGGCCTTAGCTTTCCACCATGAAGTAGCTTCCAGAGAGAGAGCTTCTTCCTGTCTACCTGTGCCTTTATTGCCTTCCTGTTCTGCCTTTTCATTGGCTCTAAACCCAGCCACATCACTTCCTCGTCACTGCCTGTCTATACAGACCTCCAGGTCTCTATGGTTGGTACTGGGATTTAAAATGTTTGGCACCGTGCTTAGCTGTGTCCTTGACCACATAGAGACTCTGACTGCCATGTGATCAGATTAAGGGCATGTGCTACCACCACTTGACTTCTATTTATGGCTATGACCTCTGATCTCCAGGCAAACTTTATTTATTAACATACAACTATCACATTTCAGCACAAATAAAATATCACCACATTTCCCCTTTTTATTCTAACCAAAAAAAAGTTATAACTAATATAAGAAAAATTATATACAATAAGTACAATAGCTATATACAATATATACAAGCAATAAATACCTAAACAATGTCTAGTCCATTTGCATTTGACAAACTCAGAGAAAATATTCCATTATCTATCCTATTTGGTAAGTAATGTACCTGAATCATTTTCTATCCTAACTTATATTACTAACAGAGAACTATCTTATAATGTCTTTCAAATTTATACACTTACACCTCTTTAGTGAGTTTCTTTTCTGAAATTCTTAACAAGGAAAACTACAACTATAACTATCTAATCTTCAACTAACTATAACTATATCTAATCTTCAACTCCCTCAGAGACCCAAGGAGGAAATAATATTACCTAATAAAACAGGAAGTGCAAGCAAGCGGCTTCCAAAAAAAATGTGAGTTGACAGAAACAACCAGCTGCCTGGACAGTCACCAGAGGTTTCTTCGAAACGTTGGGGCATCACCTTCCGCCTATAGGCTTAGCATATCTGACAGACTCATTTGTGAAGTAGGATGTACACAGGGCCTACAGTTCGACCTCACATTTGGTGCAAGTAGTCCAGGTACCAGATAAACCTGAATTCCACTAGTGTCCTGTCGTGATTCAGGATTTTAAATTCTGGAAATTGTTAATGTTTTTGGAATTCAGCTGTCCATTCTTCTTAGCTTGTGGGTGGCTTCATCTCGGCATCCTGTTCTTCCCTGCATCTCATTCTTCTCAGCTTGTGGGTGGCTTCATCTCTTTTATTAAATGCCAGTCTACCATTGAGAGGTTAGACTCCATCAGCTTAGTTACTCTTTCAAGAATAACTGCTTCAGCTGCTGTTCCACTGCAAATTAGAAGCCATCGGTCCACTGCCAGTTCAGCTGCCTTTGAAAAAAGGTCACTGTACCTTTTCCAGATTGCAAAGGCCACTTCGATGATGGTACCATATTGCCCTGGCCTCAGAGGATGCCTGTTGCTGAAGACACAACCACACTTGTCTTGACAAGAATTGGTAGTCCTTTGTTTCATGTCCTGTCTGTCCATTTTGTCCTGTTTGTCAGCAGTCAATTCGAGGACACTTTGTTGTCCAGTGGCTAACTTTTGCCACAATGAAAGTTAACTCCACATGCAGTTTCTTCAATGCCCATATTTTCTCTGAAGTAGATTGGTGCTACCAGGAGCCAACATGTCTCATAGTCATAAAAAAAGAAAAAAAAATCTAAGTTATTAAAACATTTTAAATACCATATTCTGTAGATCTCTGAAGGGTTTAAGATGACCTATCTAAAATATATCTGCTTGACCTTGAAAACATACCTAATATGACTACAAGTTTGATTGTAATGTCTAACTACTAACTTTTATTTCTTTATATCCTAATAGTTGGTAATAATAACATTCAAGGATTAGCAAATTGCATTACATTGTTAAATGAGCTGTGTAAATACAAAATCCTGAACAAGATTACAAATATACCTACAGCTTTTTCTAACAGGAACCTAATTTGCTCACTATGTACTTGTCTTATGCTTATTATCTTATATTCATTCACTAAATGTAAAATAGGTGAATTTTTATTGTTATTGCAGAAGAGCACTGCAGAATTTGTTTTTGTTGTTTGTTATTGTTTGGGTTTTTTGTTTGTGTGTTTGTGGTTAGTTGGTTGAGAGAGGTTCTCCCTCTAGCCCGGGGTAGCCTGGAACTCACTGTGTAGATCAGGTTTGTCTCCTGTGTGGGTCACCATGCCCATCTATATGCTAAATTAGAAAATGAGATTTGGGGACAAATGCAATGATCATTAGTCTAGTTCTTCAGTGTTATATCATTGAATTTGTTACCTACAGTAGTCATAAATGAACTATTAATGTGATACTGGAGGTCAAATTACCAAAGAACTGTCCTAGTCAAGAGCGGCCACTAGGTGGAGGTAGTGCTCCAAACCCATTGCCATTAGACCCCTGTCAATTGGTCAGTTTATTAGAAGCAGTGGACAACTTGCTATTTTATCTGTTTACTGGGACAGAATCTTACTGTGTGATCCAAGCTGACACTAAACTTGTGATTCTCCTGCTTCAACTCTCTAAATGCTAGGATAACATAGTGCATAGTACATAGCCTAGCTTCGGAGGAAACTGTTTTCCTTTTTTTTTTTTTTTTCCAGAGTCCCACTCTGTAGCCCAGGCTGGCCTCAAACTCATGATGATCCTGCTCCTTCAGTCCCGGCTCCCCAATGCAGCAATTATAAGCATGAGCCACCACACCCAGCCGATCTAATCTTTTTCAGCTGATATAATCCAATAATAACTTACTGAATTTTAAAATTAGATGTGTTTTCACAGTGGGTACAGCATTTTAAGTTTCTATGGTTCCTCAGAGAAAACGATTGAGTTTCTGTTGTTTCTCTGAGGATCTTGAGTTCCTAAGAAGCTGATGGTGGCTGCCAGAGGCCGAGGTCTCCTGGGCCAGTGGCAGGAAGCAGGAGTGGATCTGCCCATGGCAGGCTTGTGTTCCTCCCAGAAACCAGAAACTGGTCTTCAGTGAGGACCAGAGATGATGGGACTTCAGCCGCAGCACGGCTCCCCACAAGGAACCGGACGCCACCATCCAGCAACGTACACAAGGGGAGGCAGGAACCCTGGAGGCTGAAGGTAACAGGGTGTGGGGAGTCAGCAGCGCCTCTCAGAGAGGACATTGGGGATCACTGTATTTACAGCAGTACCCCCAACCCCCAGGGCCTCTGTAGGGCCTCTCCAAAGGGTAAAACGGGGTTTGTTCCTTGATTTCTCCCTGGCCTCCCAAATGGCCCCCTACAGATCCCTCCCACCAGTTCATCGGCACAGGGAGCCATTTTTTCCAGCTCTTCTTCCCACCACTCTGACAGAAATGCTGGGAAACAGCACCTAGCCACTTTGTAACCTTTCTTTGCTGGGAGGCGGATGACTTCCTGTTCCTGCAGAAAGACTCAGATTGCGAAACCACACTGGTCTAAGTGAAAGGCCTGGAGGCCTTCCTGGTTTCCTTTCTCTTAGTATCTGGGAAAGTTTCAGACTTCCAGCTTGATGTGCATCCTCATTCCTGAGCTGCAGAGAACCAGTGTTGACTGCCCTAAGGATGTGGCAGGGTCTGGGGTGTGGAGGGGAGAATTTCCCTGCCCCCTGGGCTTCTGGCTGTTTCTGCACCAATATCATTCTTCAAAGCTTTGTAACTTTTCAAACACTTGAAGTTAAGCCCACGTCTCAGTTCAGCCCTCCTCTAGCCCAGGATAGCCTTGAACACGCAGCAATATTCCTGCTCCAGTTTCCTGGGTGCTCGGGTTACAGGCTTGCACCACCACACGGTTTCTTTCTGAGGTCTTAATCAAAGGTCCTCCAGGCACACCATTGGATTTTCCATTTTGCCGGATGGAGAAACGTGGAATGAAGTCTCGCTTTCTAATCTTTTCAGTCCTTGGCCAGCTCTCTGCTCACAGACCCAACCATTCTCCTCTCTTACAACTTCTTATAGTTCTCAGGAGCAAAGTGATTCCTTCAATACCCCACCTGGAAATAGTCCAGCTTGCTCTGAAAATCCATTAGCCATGTGACACAAAGTTCATATTGCTACAGGAAGGTTTCGGCCCTTTTCACAGCAATCTGCCACAGTTTGTCCCCAGCCTGGTGACCCTTCACTAATAGCCAAAATAGCCTGTTTTTCCAGCTCCCACCCACTGTGTGCACAAGCCAAGGCCACATTTTAAATTTTCGTGTACCCATGTCTGCTACTGATTTGTGTGTCAGCCAGTATTGCTGTGTAACGAGTTACTTTAGAAATTAGTATTTCCGCCTAGGCACCGTGGTGTGTGTGTCCCAGCACTTGAGACACAGAAGCAGGAGTGTCACTGTAAATTTCAGGCCAGCCCTGTTTACATGGTCATTTCCAGGCCAACCAAGGCCACACAGTGAGACCCTTTCTACAAAACAAAACCAAGGCTGGGAACACAGCTTAGTGGTAAAGTACTTGACGAGTATGCCTGAGGCCTCAGGTTCCGCCCCAGCACTACACATTCATACACAAATTCAAGAGATTAAAGCAACAATAAAGTGTTACTTATTCAAATCATCTGGATTAGTTGAGCAGTTCTTTCTCTTTCCATAGTCTCCTGTGGGGCTACTTGAGCAGCAGTATTCAACTGGTTTGCTGGCTGGCTGAGTTGACCTCTTTGCTCATATGGTCTTCTTCTCCCCAAAAGGCTAAACTGGTTCTGATATAGCTCCCAACAGATGCATATGTGTGCACCAAGAGGCATGTGCAGGGATGCTGAAAGGACCAAGCAGATGCCATGACAGGCTGCTCAGTCTTGTCTCAGAGATCAGGCCTCACTTTCAGTTTCCTGAGACTTGAGCAAGCAGTCTCTGGGAGGGCCGTGAACAAAAGACATAGTCCTGGCAGTAGCTCCCTTTCTGCACGTACTCTGACTGCTCAAAGTTCAGCCAGATGTTTACTGTCTGGGACCCTTCATCAACTTAGAGTTATGTGCATGACGTGCTAGGCCAGCCAGCCCCCATGGCGGCTCAAGGACAAAGCCTGGGACTTGTGCTGGACAGCCCCCAAAGTGATAATTGTAACCACCAACCAGTAAATTCAAAGGTTACATACCCTCACCCAATTAAAAGAGAACAGAGATAAAAATAAACCAATCCAGCCGGGCGGTGGTGGCGCACGCCTTTAATCCCAGCACTCGGGAGGCAGAGCCAGGCGGATCTCTGTGAGTTCGAGGCCAGCCTGGGCTACCAAGTGAGTTCCAGGAAAGGCGCAAAGCTACACAGAGAAACCCTGTCTCGAAAAACCAAAAAAAAATAAATAAATAAATAAAAATAAATAAATAAATAAATAAAATAAAAATAAATAAACCAATCCGAGTTGCACCCATGCAAACCCCCCTAACCCCCCTGAAGGGCTTGTGGTTTTTGCCTTTAAATAGCTAGCCACACAAAGAAAGAGGAGCTTCTCCCTGCCTCACTGTATTGGGTGTAGGAATGAGTCCCCTGTCTAGACTTGTATCTGCAGAATAAACCTTGCTGTTGCATTCTGGACATCCAAGGTCTTCAGTGGTCTCTTTGGGGGTCACAATCTGGGCATAACAATGCTTAAACAGCATTATTCACAGAATCAAAGACCAAACAGCTCAAATGTCTGTCCTTGTGTTATGTTTATCACCTTTAGCAAATGACTTTGGGGACCACACTCTATGAGTAGGATTGAGGAGGAGGAATTGTTTCTAAAGCCACAGCACTTTTCCTACCTCATACCGACTAGCCTATCCTCACACAGGACTATCCTATCCTCACTCAGGACTAGCCTGTCCTCACACAGGACTATCTTGTCCTCACACAGGGCTAGCCTATCCTCACACAGGACTATCCCTTCCTCACACAGGGCTAGCCTATTCTCACACAGAACTATCCTCACTCAGGACTAGCCTATCACACAAAACTAGCTTGTCCTTCTTTCTGGCTGCAAAAATATATCATGAGATTCAGATGTCTATTAAAGCTGAACTTTGTCCGGCCAAGGGTCTGTCAAAAGGCAAGCCATTTATTCTGAATATTTGGTGTTAACCAGCCTTTAATATCTCCAGCTGTCTTCTACTATGAAATCCTTGCGTGCCCAGACCAATTGGTAAACAGTTCAGCTCCTCAGACCTGCTGAACTTACTAAGTTACTAACTGCCCCGCTGAGATTAGGAGACAAGCTGGTGGGAGATGCCTAGCTTTGTTTCTTGTGCTAATGAAGCTCAGACCCCTCGCCTTGAGGGGGCCTAATGATTCTCTAGAGCAATTGACTGAGAACAAAAGAGGTTTTTACTTATCTAGGTAAGAGATAAAACAACTTTCCTGAGGTGGCAGGGAACCATGTGCTCAGGGAAAGAAAGGGCAAGCATTTTCTGTAGACAAGGACAGAACAGCATGGCGAGAGAGAAGAGAGGACAACAGAGGTTCCGTAGAGAGTAAGCAGATCTCTAGTAGAGTTTTCTGAGTTCCAGGAGTGGAGAGTAGCAGAAATGGAGAAAGAGCTTACAGAGGATGAAGATGAGGCTGGAAGTATAGGAGTTAGTGTTAGCAGGACTATGAGCTGGGGAGCTGGACGGAACTGCAGTTATGGAGACAGGATTTCATCCCAGAGAAATAAAGTAGACGGATACAGAGCTTGGCGTGTCTAGAGTTACTCCTGCCTTGAGTGCCTGGTGAAGCTATAGCTGAATTGATAGAATTTTGTCTTAGAGGAATAAAGTTAACAGACGTCAGAACATGGTGTACGTAGACTTTTCCCTCAGCTCCCACGCTGGACTTAGCTGAGTCCCTGGACCCTGGGTACTCCATATGTCCTCACACAGGACTAACCAGTCAGTACAGAGCAGTCTGACAGATGACCCCTGAACACTTGTGCAATGTGAAGAGTCCAGCATGACCCAAGAAACCACACTGCAAAAGGTAACATGAGAGATGGCTCAGGGGCTGAGTGCTTGTGGAGGACCCAGGAGGATCACGGGGCTTGCTGGCCATCTACACACTTCAGGTGCTGTGAGAGACTCTAGCTCAAGAGAATAAGGAGGGGGCTGTAGAGATAGCTCAGCAGTTAAGAGCATTAGCTGTTCTTCCAGAGGACCTGGGTTCAATTCCCAGCACCAACATGGCAGCCCACAATTGTAACTCCAGTCCTAGGGGTACTAAAACACCAATGTATATAAAATAAGTTGTTGAGAGAGAGAGAGAGAGAGAGAGAGAGAGAGAATGGCCAGACATGGGGAGTGTACACCAGGGCTACACAGAGAAACCTTGTCATAAAATACTAAAAATAAATAAACAAAATAAGGCAGTGGTGATACAGGTCTTTAATCCCAGCACTTGGGAGACAGAGGCAGGTGGATCTCTGTGAGTCCAGGACAGCCAGGGCTATGTAGATAGACAGTTAGATAGATAGATAGATAGATAGATAGATAGATAGATAGATAGATAGATAGATAGATAGAGGAAGACACCAATGTTGACTTCTTGTCTCCTACATACACACACACACACACACACACACACACACACACACACACACA